AGCTCGACCAACACGAAACAAGAACAAAGCATTGAAGTGCTAAACAAACTTATACAAACATGACAAGTGTCTAAACTTTGCTAAATGTTTTCCTTAGATTTCTTTCATGTGTTTGGTGTTGTTCTAGGTCTAGTTTGGGTACCAAATAAGTGTTAAATATGTACTAGGAGTGTCCTATGTGAAAGAGGCTTCCAAAACAAATTTGTACGCAAAACAGGGGATTTTCTCATGTGTGGGGCTCAAACCACATGTGGGGGACAAGTAGGGCACATGCGGCCCACATGTGCCTTTTTTTTCAGAATTGATCAAGTGTTCTGGAGACCTAGCCACACATGCGGTGCTCTTAGCGGCACGTGCGGAACTAGGCAAAATAACCATGTCCGAAGTTCTTTCAAGTTCTAAGTGTTCTCTTCTTGGTTCTAAGGCTAGGGCTCAAGCAAACTTCAGCCTAAACCAAAAACCAAACCAAACCAAGCCTTAAGTCCCATCAAATGGGGTCGGCTACATAAATCATTCTTCTTCACTCAACTCTATCAACGGCCATTTGGTTAGTCAAGTAAAGGAGATTCATATCTTTATTTACTACACTAGCCCATGTTAATCTAGGTCTGTCCCTTCTTTTAACACTTTCATCTACCGTTACTGCATCGCATCTCTTCACTACTACTTCTGTTGGTCTTCGTTGTATATGACTATACCATCTCAATCCATTCTCTCTCCACTTATCTTCTATCAGTACTACTTACCCATTCTCGAATATATTCATTCCTAACTCTGTCTTTTCTAGTTTTGCCACACATCCACCTTAGCATCCTCATCTCAAAAACACTCATCTTATCTACATGTTGATTCTTAGTTGCCCAACATTCCGGCCCATACAACATCGATGGTCTAATAGCCGTTCTATCAAACATTTTTTTTTTTAGTCTAGTAAGTACTCATTTATTACACAGTACCTCAGATGCACTCATCCACTTAAGTTACCCTACCTTAATTCTATGGACCATATCCACTCCAATCTCCAAAGCAATTATGATAATCGATCCTAAATAACAAAAATGTTCACTCTTAGGTAGTTCTTGGTTCTCAATCTTCACTTCTCCTTTGCTTTCATTGTTAATGTTACTAAAATTATACTCGATGTACTATGTCTTAGTTTTGCTTATCTCATATCCTTTAGATTCAAGTGTTTCTCTCCAAGTCTCTAGCTTAGTGTTAATTTCTTCTCTTGTCTTATCCATTAACACGATATTATCTGCAAAAATCATACACTATGACACATCATCCTGAATATTTCTCATCAACCCATCCATAACTAAAGCAAAAAGATAAGGACTTAAGGTAAATCCTTAGTGCAACCCCACAGTAATTGAAAATTCACTTGTCCTTCCAACAGGTGATCTAATAGTGGTCACCACGCCTTCGTACATGTCCCTAATCACATCAATGTAACCTTTTGTAAATTTAATGACAAACGTAAAAGAATGATTGTTTTCCAAATCGATAACATTAAAACTTAACTTGGTTTCAAGATTCAAAGATCAAACTTCAAGTTTTGTTGAAAATTTCGTTGTTTCAAGTTTGTATCAAAACCCTTCCTTTTCATTCCTTTAAAACCTAAAGTTAGCTTGCAAAATCATTGGAAATCAAGGGAACATATGAAGATGAAGACCTAGATGTATCATGAACATCAAAAACTTAATCAAGAAGATGAATTTCTAAACTTCCTACCTAGTTCTTCAACCTAACCTTTCTCATTCTTTTCCAAATTTCTTTATTTCTAACTCAAATTAATCCTAATTTCTTCTTGTTCTTAGATTTTAGAAGGGTTTACTACAAGTTTTGGAATTGAAATCTTACCTTACCTTGGTTAAAGGATGAGTTTTGGTCAAATTCTTGGGTTCCTCTTATTTTCTCTCTTCTTTCTCCCTTTCTCTAGCTCTTTCTTCTCTTTTCTAGCAGATTTTCGTCTCTGTTTGACTTAGCTTGGCTTTTATGAGGTAGAAATAAGAGAGACTAATTGGGACAAAAAGGAGATGTGTATGTATGCTTAATCAAAATATCTAATTTTTGTTTGCTTAGCTTAACTAATCTTACTTATTTAACTTAGTTACCTAAGGTTTGTACTAATTCGGCCTTGTTTGGGAACATGTTATTTTAGTTACTTTTTGATTTTTTGGCTAAAATATGAGATAAAACAAAGTAGTATGTTTGGAATGACTTTTTGATTTTTTACAAAAAAAAATGTGCAAAAAGTAGAAAGAAAATGAAATCTTTGACTTTTTTGTACAAGTTGTTATCTTTTTAGTTTTTTTAGTAACTTTTTGACTTTTAGGCTAAAATATTGAGTTGCCAAATGAGACCTTAATCTAGGTTTAATTTTAATCATACTTAACTTAGTTAGTCCTAATTAAGGCTCACTAATCATAATTAATAGTAATCCCGATTAGCAAATCATATAGCATGAAATGACAAGCACATTAGACTACAACTTTTAAGCTCCTTAATTAGTGTCAAGGCATATCCTTTCATTCTCAAATCAAGTCTAAGGTCATTTCCTAACCCAAGGCACAAAGCAAATAAGTCATAGACATAAGGTTTCAAACTAACTTCTCCTTCTCTTTTCTAATCCTAAAGTCTTATTTCACATAAGCATATAACACAAGGACAAATGCAATAACATGATATACATTATGCATGAATGGTTGGTTGTCACACCTACTCTGCACAGGTTTTCGGTCTTTCATCGTGGACTCTCTCACAAACTTATTCTGATTCTCGTTCTCATTCTCATTCTTACCTATACATGACCTAAATTCACCACCATTATTCAATTTAAAACCATGATGTTTAAATAAAAGTGCAACACATATTGTTGAATTTATCATCATAGGATGAACTAAAACCCATTTTATCGAATTATGAAGTGTTGAATTCATATATGGAAAACTCATTGTTGAACAGAGGTGGTGTTGAACACATTTTGGAGAAAGTTGAAAATGACCAACAATACAATTTCTACCAGTGCTATAATTTCATAAATTACATGCACTTATCCTCAATTTCAAGATATAGATACAATTTCATCATTTTATAAAATCAAGGTTTCTATAAAATTAGAGTTTTCTCCAATTACAATACCCTCTTGCTATTTTATACAAGAAAATAAGTTTGATAGGAAAATTATAAAAAAAAAAAAAAATACACAATCGATTCCAAACCTCAACTCTCTGTCATGCATTTTTTCAAAATCTCTACCAATACCTCAATGTAATATATCAAAATTACCACACACACATAGAAGCCCATATTGAGTAAATGGACAAAACCCTACCTCAAAGAGAGAAGAGAAGAAGGAAGAAAACTTGAAAGCTAACGAAAAGAATACCAGCTTTGGTGATATGAAGCCCTCATTGTGCTTTACAATGTTGAAGTTTGAGTTTTTATTTATTTATTCCAACTCTAGCTAGGGTAGATCTAAGCTTGAATGGACCATTAACGGTGAAGAGAAGGTAGATAAAGAAAAGTGAGTAGAGAGAGAGAGAGAGAGAGAGGTGTGAAAATATCGAAAGTCTATATATAATATAAGCAAGTAGCTTTGGCCCCACAAATTTGACTAGAAGTACATGATTTGACGCACTAAAGTTGAACAAATGATCGAATAGTCAAAAGTTTGCTCTAGCAGTGAATGGATGCTATCAATATCTCTGTTTTTGCAAATCAGAGTTGTTCAGATTTACAAACCGCTCAAGCGGTCAAAAATTTGCTAGAACAAACTATGCTGATTGCTTTGATGCCTAAACTTTAAATAGATATAACTTTCCCGTTCAAATTCCGTTTTGGACAGTTCATGTGTCTAAATCGAAGCCCTAGAAGTAAGTTTCCTAATGGTTCTAGCGTCACACGAAGATTCAAAATGTGGAGAGAGAAAAGAGCCCAAAAAAAAGTAAAAACTACTCAAACAAATATCTGAATTTAAAGTTTTTGATCCAATCTTACCCGACCATCATTTTACACATTAATCAAGGCTCTAAACATTTATAAGTCCCAATTATAATAATTAAAAGGTCAAATATAAACCTCTCGTTTCTAATAGTCCAAAAACAATGCAAGTATACAAGGTAACAGGTACTAATTAACATAAATAAGTAGGTTTAAGAACCAAAACGCTACACATCTACAGTAATTTTACAACATCCACTCAACACTGCCTAACTTAAAATACAGAAATTCTTAGCTTGGGCTATTCAAGGTGAACAATAGGACTATAAACGAAATAATTTGTATATAGCCATGGAAAAGGCCATGAATATACAAAAACCCATATAAAAAAACCAGCCCTTGCTCACAATAACCAAGAATAAACTCTAAACTATAACAATCAGGTTATACAGAGCTGAATGAGACAAGTACAGAATCTAGCTCAAACCATTATGACTTGAAAAACTCCAGTCCAACAAGGGAGCACCATCTCACAAATCCTTTCTCCACCATAGAAACTTGAAATCACAGCAGTCCCATTTAGATGTTCAATAGATAAAACCAAATGTTCATTTATCTTAATCTGAAAGACCAAATCTGTTTCATAGAATGGTGCATCTTTGAAACAGTTCCAGCCCCACTTAAGATACAGCAATCCAAACCCTACTAGAATGGTGCATCTTTGAAAGATCAATTAAATACGCTTGAAAAGATCTAAAAGCTTCAAACAAAAAAACTACAAACAAAACTATACCTCTGATGAAGCATCAGCAAAACAGATTCTATGCAACCCAGACAATTTCCTCTCAGAGAATCCAACAAAAACAAGTGACCAAAAACCGCAAAATGAAAACCTAATTTCTGGTCCAACATCAACACTCAACAGTAGCACCACTTGAGCCAAGGTCTGGAATGCCGCTGCAATAGGCTTTTCAAAATATATTCTTCTTTTTTGTCCTAGAGGAGAAGTTGGTGGTGTATAGCTTTCCATGAAGAACACAATAATACACATGGAAACAGAGCACAATGAAGCATATCATTTCACATTAACTTTAAAAATAGTACGAAACACACTATCCTCAAATTGAAAAAGAGAAAGAAGAAATTAACACACAAAAAAAATAAAATAAAATAAATAAAATAAGTGTCCAACTAACAACAGCTAATAGTAATACAGAAGAGCAAGGGAGATTACTATGATCAATGTTGCTCTACATCAAACCAGAAAAAGACAGAAGTTCGAGCATAAATAACTCGAACTCGCTGCACTGCCAGGGTTCCACTTGTTGAAACTGCCTTTGCACCTCCTTCGATACGAGTGCGAGAAACGGAGACGCCATCGCCACGACCATTATTCACCAAGGATGGGAAGACCTCAGGGCCATTGGCTGTGCTCACGATCGCATATGAAAGGTAATCTAAGGGGTTGGACTCGCATTGAAGAATACACCCATCAATTATCAGCCTCCCACTCCTATGAAGCAAGCAGCAGCCTAGCTCTGCCTTCACCGTTAAGTTTGCGACTTTGCAGGTGGACAGGAACTCCAATGCACTGCCCAAACACAAGGAACAGTGCGTACAATTTATTTTGTCAGCAGTGAAAACAAACACTAACGAGTATCTAGGAGCCAACCCCAACCACTTTTTTCTGATTGACTTGGCATAAAAACCAGATTGCTTTTTACATTTAATAGAAATCTTGAAAGATAAATCTATTTTAAAATTCAAGTTTTTGAAAACATTTAGAATAAATTTTCACTTTACAACACTAAAAATTAAAAAAAAAAAGCCACTGCATCTTGAATAATTTTACCAAATGTAAGTTTTCACATCTTGAATATTTTACAAAATGTTATCATCAAGTGGAGAAAATTCTAAAATCATATAGTCCAACATGTACCCAAAAAATTCCAGGGATTGAATCAGGCAAGGCTAACCTAGTCATGGGCCCCATACACTAAGCATTTGCCTGCCACCTTCAGCCTTGGGGCTCAGAGGTGATTCCCTTTAAACAAAAATAACTGCCAAATTCACCAGCTCGGAAGTGGCTCCTAAAATTCCCATAAGCTACTGAGTACAAGTAAGAGGCACAATAAAAACTTGCAAACCTGTCTGAGCCTCGAGAACAGGTAAGTGTTGTATCATCTGGAAGCTCACCTCCACCAATCTGGAAAAAGATGAGGTAAAACATGCACATGGTAATGTTCTGTATTCAAGAATTACATTTCTACACTCTGGTATACAGTTAAGTAGGGCGTCCTTGAATTAAGCAGGAAATGTGTACAATGGTCTATGGTGCTGAGATTAAAAAGGGAAAGCCCAGTAAGCAAGCTCAAATAAACATAGCTTTTGTAGACTTTTAAAACCACTTTTCCAGCTCTGGAAACCCAAGAAACTTCATCCAACTTGGTTTTCACAAGCATGGATTCACAACAGAAATATAGTAAATTTGGTTTTTGTTGCCAAAAACCACAAAAATATCAGCAGGACTAATGGAATTCCTTACTTAGAAACAAAAAATTCTAAATAGGCTAGAATACATGCATGTTACAGTATCGATCTTAAGTTACAAGAACTTAATTATCAATCAATGACGTGAACAGAAATATTCACTGATAACTATAACCAAGAGTAGATATCAACCCATAATAAGAAAGACAAGGGACTATAAACAAAAGCAAACAATATGCGCAGCATCAGATGCTCAGACACCAATTGAAATTACTACAACCCACAACCATCTATGAGAGGAAAATTAACATGATTTTTGAAACCTTATTGACTATGAAGCACGGACACGGACACGGACACGAACACGAACACAGGTACAGACACGGACATGGGACATGGCAATTTCCAAAAAATGGGGGCACGGACACAACGGGAGACACATCAAATATACATATATTTATATATATTTTTTTATTTGCTAACAAAAACTAACATAATAACATTAATTCAATAAATATAATATATAAATAAATACATATAAATTAAAACAAATATATATATATATATATATAATTTATAAAGGCTATATATATAATATACAAATAAAAACATATATATATATATACATATTATATATAAGTATAATTTATAAATATATATATACATACATATATATCTATATACTAATATTCTAGGTTATATATATATATATATGTCACAGATCTTGATCAAAGATGGAGAGATGAGAGAAACAAAGCTCTCGAAGGTGAGCGAGAGAGAGATAGAGTGAGAAATCGAAGGTGTCGCTCGTAGAAGGTCGTCGGACTTTCAAAAGTCGTCATTGTTTGTTGAGATTGAAGGCAAGACAAAGACAGATGGAGATCGAGGTTGTCGCTCGTCGCTTGTCAAGTTCATCATCTCTTCTGGTTAGGGCAAATACCAGGTCACTCCTCTCTTCTCTCTTTCTCTCCTCTCTTCTCTCTTTCTTCTCTTCTGATTTCCTTGCCATGTCCCCGCTGTGTCCCAAACCCAAAAAAAAAAACAAAAAACAAAAAAAAGGGGGACAAGCCAAATGGCGTGTCCTGTATGTGTCCATGGCATGTCCCCATTTCCGACACCGCTATAGCACTGAATTTGCCGTGTCCATGCTTCATAGCTTCTTGATGAGAGAGGAAACCTCTAAACAGAAACACAGGGCAAGAAAATCAGCAGTTGTATCAAAAATATATTAGCATAAAGCCATAAACTAGAAGCATGTCAGAGCTGTTTTCAGTAGGGCAAGTCAAATACCTAGCAAGCATAAATTTCACATTATAGTGACATTTCAAATAAAAAAAAGCCTCAGACATACCAGGCAGAGTGGCTTTCTAATCTGAATGTTAGAAGCAATATGAGCTCCCCCGGCTGCAATAAGAATTGTGTCACCAGGCCTACATGGCACATAGATAGTCTTGATGAGGCTTTCCAAGCTTACTTTATCACCCTGAACGAAATATAAGGAAATGAATCGTTACTAACCTTGCAGCAGAGACTGCTACTTCAATGTTGGGAAAAACTCCAGGCTGAGACAAGTCTTTGACAGACCGGTCTACTCGCAGCCAAAGACGAGGATGACATGCCAGGAAAAGCCATCTGTGGCAAACGAGGGCGGTGTTATACCGATCTGCAAACTCAATAGCAATTCGTGAAAGAGACCACAAAGTTATATCATACATGCATAGAATTTTGGTTTCATTTTCAGCAGTTCAATTGCAAAGAATTTCTGAAAATGAGTACGCATATTATATAGGCTTTAAACCTCCTCTGATAAGGCTAATATTCTGCAAATTTGATCAAAACACTTTTCTATTTAAGTAAATTTGATCAGCACTCTGTAATAACCTATGTATTACTTTTACCCATTTTATGTTGGTATTTATGAATTCCTTGTATTAATATGTTTATCCAGAATTAAGTGTGTATTCTATTTGAATTCAAAACTTCAAAATTTAATCATCTCAATTGAGATTTCAAATAATTGATCATGTAATTTTGGTTTGAGTTAAAATGTTGTTACTTCCACTTAATTCATATTATTTTCTTATGAATAATTTCTAGTTGGACTTGTGAACATGATTTGTGGTTAAATTAATTAAGATTAGCTAACTAGTGGGAGATTTATTAAAGTATATTACATGTGTTGGCTTGTAAGGTGGACACACCTCATCCATAAAAGGATTGGGAGAAGGATATGTCCCATATCATGCAATGCAAGGTACAGATACAAGTCTCTCATTGTTCTTTTGTTTAATGTTAAGAGACAGTTCAAGGGAAAATTATGAAGCTTGACCAAGGAAATCCAGTCCTATACTATACTCGTATTCTTGTTACAAATTGTAAAGGAACTAATTAACCCACATAAATTGGTGAAAATTTGTGCATGTGTGTGAAATTTGAGCTAAAACAATATTTTAGGAAATTTTCATGTGTGAGATTACCATTCCACAGTAGAATTGAAATTTTAACACCATATTGTTGTCTTGGGCCCTTAAATAACTTATGTTTAAAAATCCAGCAAGCTGTTCTACATCATTTTGGTTTGGTATCAAAGCTTCAAGATCCTACCTTTGTTCGCCACCAATTTTTTTATTTTTTATTTTTTATTTTTTCTTCTTACAATGGTGTCAAACGCTGAATTGAACTCCAAGTTTGAAGCATTCTCAAAAGATTATAAGGCTACCAAGGAAGAAGATATTGCGATGTTAAAGAGCAATGTGAATACTATCAAGACAAGTTTGAAAGAATTAAAAGCTTGCTATTTCAAAAGAAACTAATATCAAGGAGCAAAAAGATGATAATATTGAGGTTCTTGAAGAAGCTACAAAATAGTGAGATAAACATGTAATAATGAGGTTATTGAAGGGAAGAAGGGAAAATTAATGTGCTTACTAAAGAAAGCATGAAAGAACATATTGATCAAGATTCTAAAGCCAAGGAAGCCAAAGAAAAAGATGAGAATGCAACAAAACTTTTTTCTTTACACAAGAAAAAGGAAGTTCATGTTGAGTTTATTATTCCAAATAAATCAACATAACGTTGAGCTTTTTGGTTTTCTCATTGTTAGTTAAAAAAGAATAATTTGAATGGAAGCAAGTCAGAGAGTCCAAAATCCTTATACTTCCAACATTATAAAACTCGACTTCGAGTTTTTTCAAATGCAGGGGACGATGATGAAGAACGGGGAAAGAAGAGAAATGGCAAATTTGGAATTTCATATGAAGCATGTTTAGGGTATCAAGGATTGAAGTTTTAGATTAATTTTGAGTCCTTATTTGTATTTATTATAATTTACTATGTTGCTAGACAGATTTATATTATTGTAATAGGTCTTACGCTCCGTTTGTTTGGACAGAAAACGTTGTCCACATTTTCTGTATTTTCTGGTGTTTGGTACAACGGAAAATGAAAGTCAACAGAAAATATTTTCTATGGTCAACAAAAAACAAGACTATATAGGCAAAACATGTTTTCCACTTTTAAAAGGCGGAAAACATTTTTAGGACCAAAGTCCTACTAATATCACCACACTACTACCGCCACTCTCACAATTTGATTTATTATTTTGATTGGCTTTTTGATTTATAAATATTAGGGTTTGCATTGTATTATTTAGCTTTGAAATAAAATTAACTAGATCACAGAAGGAGCACATACATACTCTCATACCCACTCCACTACAGGGTTACACCGATATCAACATTGCAACACCGTAAGCATATACGCATGCAGGTACTCTGTTGATTTCCCCCATTTTCTAATGGTTGTTGCACAAGTTTTCATCATCCTCCCATTCCTGATGAGTTTTTTAGCATGTGCATTGTGCAAATTGTTTGTAATGTACAGTTTCGGCTATCCTGTGGTACATACTCAAGTGTTTCTGTGTTCTTCATTTGCTTCCTACTTTCTAAACCGTCTGTAACTATTTTTTATGCAGGGATGGACGACGTTAACACTCTACGAGACCTATATCGGTCCACTAATGTCGCATACAATCTCAAATCCCCTTACGCATTTGTCGATTTGGTTAATTTTTTGTGTGATAATTTTGGTGGTCATACATCGAGTAATGTTCGATTGTTCTTCAATGTTCTGAGTTATAACAATATCTCATTACAAAATGATGTAGATATGCAAAATATGGTTCACCTTGGGCCGAAGACTCGTTTGCAACTAATCGATGTTATGGTCGAGTCACGCAATCATGCATGTGTAACAGCAGACGATGATTTTGTGGACACTATATCGAGTCCTGCCACGTGTGGAATCAAACTCGGTGTTCACCAGATTAACAATGAGTCTGATATCGATTTGTTTCCAAACTACTGTCCACATGATGAAAAGACATTCTTATCAGCACCATGGGCTAACGGACTAACTCATGTGGGGTAGAGTTTCGAAGGTGGTGCGCCTGAGTTCATAATAAGTAAAATTGTAATAGTATCTAAGCCATATCAAATTTGGAATTTAAAAAAAAAAAAAATCTTCAAATCCTAAGTTAAACATGGAATTTGATTCATATTTAATTAAAAAAAACTATCTATTATATCTATAGCAATATGTATCTATCTATCTGTAATATAATAATTAGTTCCATTTTAGTAAATCATGATCACCATAACATTACTCTTTTTAAGAATCTACAAAAATAATTTAAATTTTGTAATGTGAATTATTCACACCTTATTAAGAATAAAAAAAAAAATTTATTAGTAAATTATAAAATTATCCTTATTATAAATTATCATTATTATTACATTTCATCCAAATGGCAGGCCACATCCAAATAATTCGGTCAAAAAATAAAATCTAGTTTATTCTATATCTAAAAGGCTAGTTTTAGTATTATAAACAAAATAGTATTAATTAGTTAGTTTCATTTCTCTCACAATCTCTCCACTTTAGAGATTCAAAATGGGTATTTATTCTCATTTCTCTCCTATTTGGTAATTTAAACAAGTGATTGAAAATCTATTTCTCCCCATTTCATTTCTCCCCAAAGAATCGCTCTCCAATATGATGTTTCACAGCCCGACCTCAGCAGCGAAGATGACACCTTGCCTGACCGCCATCCTCAACCACTTCCACGGAAATTGCAATAAGCAACCTATCACTACCCCCACCCCAATATACATTTACCTTTAGGATTAAGGCCGCCCATCTACATTCACTTTGTATGTATCTATCAGTGGAGGCTTCCGATGATATTGTACAGCAACGAGAGGAGCAGAAGCTGTCGCACTATGATAAAGGTTATGGTAGTCCATAATTGAATGCACCAGCAACCTCTGATTCTTTCTCCCATGAAATATGTATTATTATTGTTCCAACCAGACCATGCAACCATGACAAACAATTTATTATTGTTCCCTTCCAGTCTGCATGTAAGAATAAATTGATGTATATTATTGATTTGTGTATATTACAAGATTGATATGTGTATATTGATTACAACTCCTATATATAGAAGAGAAGGTAGCAGATTGTGGTGGTGCTGGTAGGGGGTGAAGTGGAGGTGGTAGGTAGAGTGGGTTAGGTTTAGTGGAGTTGAGTGGGTGTAGTGGGTTAGGTTTAGTGGTACATTAACAAAATGACTACTGGAGGGAAATGAGAAAGATTTGTGTTCTTCATCTCTTCAACTCCAAAAGGGTACAATCTTTTCAATCAGTTCGCGAAGATGAAGTGCTCCTAATGATCAAGCAAATATCTACTACCGCAGTGGGCTTGATCTCCTTAAAGAAAACGAGATATCCGTGCCTCAACCTGATCTATTTGTATCTCATTTTCTTTGCATCATTTATCAATAATATAGTTTAGTTTCTGGTATTTTCTCCAACAACATGTAGAACAAACTAACATACATAGGAGGAGAACAAGAACCCTTGTGAAATTTTAGGCCAGAACTGTTGCTTTCGACTTGTGTGTCATATGTTTGAAACATGAAAATGATCTTTTTTGTATTCAAAAGTAAGACTAGATTCCATTTCAACAAAAGTTTGCATTCTCAAGTAGGCAAGGGAATTTTTCATTGGAAAAGCTTAGGGAACCATGATCAAGTTAAGCCTCACTATTTGGGTGATTGAATTAACAATGCTCATCAACAAAAGTCAGCTATTACAGATACAGAAACTTTGCTCAATTTAATTGATCACCAAATATAAGAGACATTGCATCACACCCATGAATTTCAGATAGAACCTCAATTTCTGGTGAAAATATCTTCAATCTCATTTTTCATCACAAGCTTTTGCTCTCTGCTCTATTGAAGTCTTTAAGACTGTGTCTGAATCATGAATTTATTTAAGAATTTCAAAAAGGAAAGGGAAAATGTGAGGGAGATGTGAATTTTATAATCTAAATTTTCTTTCCATTTCCTTTTCCCTTTCAAAATTTTTAAGGTTGTATTTGTATTTCGTTTACATTTTTCTTTTTACTTTTCAAATTCTTAATCCAAACACAATTTAAGAGTCCATGAGAGCAAAGCAAATAGGTGGTAGGTGGAGTGGGAGTGAAGGTGGTAGTGGAGGTGGTAGGTGGAGTGGGAGTGGTAATTTACTTTTACAATTTACATTAACAGCCCCCCTCAAACTCAAGGAAGATAGGAACTAACCAACTTGAGTTTGAAGA